GCCCCCCGTGCTCAGAGGGGCCCAGGCTGCAGGGAGCTGAGCTCCCCTCCCCCTCACTGCAGCAGCACAGGGTCCAAGCTGGGGCCATGGCCACCTCAGGCATGCCACCATGCATGGGCCACGTCCCACACCACCATTGCACGGGGACACATCACATCCAACACCACCAGTGCACGGGGACACATCACATCCAACACCACCAGTGCACGGGGCCACAGCCATGGGGCCGGCTCAGGTGGTGCCGATTGCACGGGGCCACAGCAGGCACCACCATTGCATGGGGACATGGCCATGTCAGGCAGGGCCACTGCTACAGGGCCACATCTGGCCCCATCATTGCACAGGAACATTGCCATGGGGCCACATAATCCGCTGCCACACCACACAGGCCACCACCGCTGCCCCGGTCACTGCCGTGGGGCATGGGAGCTGTGTGGTACAGTGCAGTGGCGAGTGAGACAGGGACATTTTCTATCAGTAGCACCTACCTAGGTAGCCTCAGCCTTGAAGAAGGCAGAACCATTCCAACAGAAATCCAGACTCTCCTGGCACTGTGGATCCCAAACAATCACAGAGCACTTCACAAACACACACAAAAACCGAAGGAGAGGTCATCTAAATTGCCTTTGGAAATTAACGGCCAAGGAGCACTGAGCCTCTTTGTCTACTAACAACCTCCCTTTACTCATTAAAATCTCCCCTTAACACTCACTTCTTCCAGGAATCTTTCAAACTTTCTTCATACCATCACCTTTGGCTCATCTCTGGTCTATTTTAGGCCCTGGTCCTAAACAGAGAACCACCCTGGTACTTGGACTTCAATTGGATTTTCCCCATAGAGTGCACCCTTAGACTGTGAACTCCTGCAGCCAAATTCAGCCTTGGTGTAATTCCTTTAACATCAAAAGAAGTTAAACCAAGGGTTATTTTGGCCCTTTATATACTTACTCACTTTGTAAAGCGCCGCATCAACATGCAGGCACTGTATAAGTATGGAGAATAATGGTACGTGGTAAGAATATAAGAATGGCCATACTGGGTCAGACCAAAGGTCCATCTAGCTCAGGTTTCAGAGTATCTCAGTATCTTGTCTTCTGACAGTGGCCAATGTCAGGTGCCCCAGAGGGAATGAACAGAACAGGGAATCATCAAGTGATCCATTCCCTGTCGCCCATTCCCAGATTCTGGCAAAGAGAGGCTAGGGATACCATCCCTGCCCATCCTGGCTAATAGCCATTGATAGACCTGTCCTCCATGAATGTATCTAGTTCTTTTTTGAACTCTGTTAGTGTCTTGGCCTTCACAATATCCTCTGGCAGAGTTCCACAGGTTGGCTGTGAGTTGTGTGAAGAAATACTTCCTTTTGTTTTAAGCCTGCTGCTGATTAATTGCATTTGGTGATGCTTAGATCATGTGTTATGAGGAGTAAATAAAACTTCCTTATTTACTTTTTCCACACCAGTCATGATTTTGTAGACCTCTATCATATCCCCCCTTAGTCGTCTCTTTTCCAAGCTAAAAAGTTCCAGACTTGTTAATCTCTCCTCATACGGAAGCCATTCCATACCCCTAATCATTTTTGTTGCCCTTTTCTAAACCTTTTCCAATTCCAATATATCTTTTTTGAGATGGGGCAACCTCATCTGCATGCAGTATTCCACATGTGGGCATACCATGGATTTATATATATTTTCTGTTTTATTATCTATCCCTTTCTTAAGGATTCACAACATTCAGTTTGCTTTTTTGACTGCCGCTGCACAGTGAGTGGATGTTTTCAGAGAACTATCTACAATGACTCCAAGATCTCTTTCTTGAGTGGTAACAGCTAATTTAGACCCCATCATTTTATATGTATAATTGGGATTATATTTCCCAATGTGCATTATTTTACATTTATCCACATTGAATTTCATCTGCCATTTTATTGTGCAGTCACCCAGCTTTGAGAGATCCTTGTGTAGCTCTTTGCAGTCTGCCTGGGATTTAACTATCTTGAGTAGTTTTGTATCAGTAGGAATAGGCTCAGTGTGCTTTTGGCTCCCTACCTGAAGCCACAATTGAGTCAGGAGACAGATTCTGTTCCTGTCTCTGCCACTGAATTACAGTATGACCCTACGTAAAGTCATTTAACCTCTTTATGTTTCAGTTTCCTCAGTGGTAAAAGCAGGATAATAATACATATCTCCATTCAAAAAGCACTGAAATCTGCAGCTGATCATTGTTATGTAGAGCCCAATCCTGCTCCCCTTGAAATCAGTGGCAAAGACTCCCAATGACTTCCAGAGGAGCCGAGGCAAGCCCCAAGTTGGTGCACAGGAGAGCCTCCGTCTCAAAATTGTATGTGCACTCTGAAAATGCTGCAAAGTCGCAGGGAAATCTAACCTCCCAGGCCCTGTACTGACAGGCAAAAATGGTGCAATTTTCAACTGTGTTGGCTCAATAAAGTTAACATGACATGACCAAAAACTTAACACTCAGTCAGAGGCAGACTACTGCTGTTTGAAGCCAAGTCAGCTGGCCCTAGTATAGCCTTGGTGGGAGGGGAGAAGGGATAATAATTTTGCCCATCAAAACAGGGGTCCCAGAGAGCAAAAGAAATGCCTTTTGCATGAAGCAGTCAGTCAATCCCCTACTTTAGAGAAGGCAGTCACATCAATGGATGCCTTTACTAAGAGATAATGGGCCTAGATCCTATCCTCACACCCATGCAACCCCACTGACGTCACTGGAGTGGTACAGATGTGATTGAGAACAGAATTTAGCCCAAGGGGTCCAGGGCTGTGACTGCAGAACAGTAACCGGCCTTCAGAAGAGAACAAACACCAATGAGATCCAGCACACACATTATACTCTTTAAAGACATGTGACTTTGGTTACAAAAGGCATCTGAGATACCAAAACCTTTTTTGGATTAAGAGAGACATTTGCAACATTTGATGTGCCTAATCTTCCAGTCACAATTCCACAGCACTTAAAAAAAAAAAAAAAAAAAAGCAGGATGGAGAAGATGATCTGTCCAAAGAGCAGAATTTTTTGGTTAAAGATCCTAGCCACACTTAATTACACAGAGTAATAATGAGCTAAGGGCCACACTCTGAAAGCTTTACTCACAAGACTCTCCCCAGAAGTCAGTGTGAGAGTCAGGATTTAGTGAGTAACATGCCTTTGAGTTGCAAGACTGGACCCCAAACTAGTTCCGCGGGCTTCCAATATGTTCAAATTGCAAGTTTATTTAAATACTGGTTGTTGCAAATCATTTAACCAGGGCTTATGAGACCTACTGCCATGTTATTTAATGTATTCAGAGTTAAATAATAATAAAAAATGCCCATACAACAAGCTCTAGGTGCCGTAACAATTAATTACACTTACAGGCATAAATGATGGCCCCCCTTCAGCAGGAAAAAACAAACAAACAAAACCATCATATATAAATAATAAATTAATCAACTCAGTCAACCAGTAAATCAAAGCAACAAAACAGCTCGTCTCTCTCCAATCCTCCAGAAACATCTCTTCAACCTTCTTCCCCAGACCCTGTCCGATTGCAGCTTGCCTGGAAGATCAGGTTTATTTAGGTCCAAGACTTCTGTTTTGCCCAGTTTACTTTTTAGACACAGGGCTGCAGTGCAAGTTCCGTCTATGGGCTGGGGATGCAGAACATGTTTTTTAAGGAAGCCATGCACTGGTCCCTCAGGTTACTTGCTCAAACTGATGTGACATAAGGCATGAGTTAAGGACTGACAACCCTGCAAAGCCTCTGGGCATGGAACTCCCACTGACTTCAATGGGAGTTCAGCAGGAGGTGTGGCTGCAGGGCCAGGATAGTTCTGCTCATTTGAAAGATGCAGAACTCTGAAATTAAGCAGAGAAGATCCTTGCCTAGCAGCTATTTACTTGTGAAGTTCCTTGGGAAGGCGTTTCAGGGGAAGCGACACAAAGGTCTTGCAGCTGCAGAACCAAGGTAAACAGCCAGGCTGCTATCTATTTAGCAAACAACACAAAACCACAGAAAAATATAAAGAGGAGAGAGGAAATTTACATTCCCCAGCCAGGCAGCTCCTCAGTGTTTAGAGCCAAGGGCACAGATGGCTTAAAGGGAGGGAATTTCTCTAGCTTTCCATCCAGATAAGTAAATCATTGCTGTATGATATTCAAGCCCTGCAGTAAATCTACAGTCTCCCGCTTGCAAACCCTTACTCACCTTAATAGTCCCACTGAAATCAATGGGACTTCGCAGGTGAGTAGAGATTTAAAGCAAAGAGACCTCTATCAGTTTTATCAGTTCCCTTTCTAACCATGAGATAGGGTGGCAGATACTTTGTTTCAACAGATGAGAAGAATCCTTCAGGAAGACCAGACTCCATTTGTATCATTGGAGAGCCAGAAGGTTTTAACCCGCTCATCAGCTATCAAAGATGATGGCAAGTTAAGAACATAACCACAAGGGGACAGCAAAGAATTGAGAGAGAGATTTTTGGTCACAAAAGGAAATTATTTTCCATCGAGGGTGTAAAGCCCCTCAACAAAATCAAAGATAAACGTGACTAAGAAATAACTTCTGCACCAGAGAAAAATTAAAGAAATTTGTTACAAAACACACACACACACGCCCCTTGCTGGATAAAAAGACTCCACATCTTTATATGAAAATAAGCCTTTTTTTAATTATTATTAAAGTGGTACCAAAATGCTTCCATATGAATATCCCCAAAACCCACATTCACCAGCCTGCCACTAAGGAAAATGAGGGACAATAAAACCCTGCCTGTGTGCGCACACAGCTGCATTTTCTACTTTATCCTTCTGCAGAAGAACATTTATCACCAGAATCAAGCACTGATGTTGCATTGAGACACATCAGCGCCAATGGGCTAACCACTGAATAAGGGATGAAACACACACTATATTTGAGACCAAGCTTGGAGGTAGGAAAAACTGATTTTACCCCTGCTATATGGAGATGAATGATGTTTTTCTTTAGGGGGAAAGACATCTTCAGGACATTACTGAGGAAAGGGCTGGTATTCCTGATCCATGAGGACAATCAGAAAAAAGAGGATATTGTCACTTTAAAAAGAAAAAAAAGTCTCCTGGAGTCTTCTTCATCTGATCCCAGCTACAGGCACCTGCTGCTGTTTGCGGATCTTGTTGAACAGTTCCATGTACTGAGCCATTGTGTCACCTGGGCTGTAGATGTTGTCGTGCTTGTTGCCAAACACGGATGGGTTTCCAGGAGTGTGATTCCCCATGAAGCTTTGCATGAACTCCATGAGCAGGTTCCAGCAGTCGTTGGCTACCACACATGGGCAGTATTCCACCTGGCAACAGAAACAGGAGCACTGAAGCACGGAGCAGGGGACGGTAACCACACAGGAGACAATTAACTTTGAACCCTGATACAGAACACGTCAATCCTTTGGAGACAAAGGAATATACAATCCTCCTCATATATGCAAACTAAAAGGAGGTGTTTAATTTTTTTCCTCCTTCATTATTTGATAAACAATGAGCCAACAGCCTGGAAAACATTCAAGGAACTCACCTGAATTTTACTTACAAAAGCAATGGGGACCTGGGAAGTAAAAAGTTATCAGAAAACTGCAGATGCATCATTATTATTAAGTGACCTAAGTACTCCAGGGGCTAGATGGCACAGCGGAGGTTAATGCACTAGCCTTTCACCTCTGCAGACCTTGGTTCAAATACCACTTTGCCCAGGAGGGACTTGGGTCTGGAACAACTAGGATGTTGCGTGTCAGAAATGAGGTGGATTGTTAGATTGTGTGCGTGTGTAAGAAAGAATCAGACAGGTAGCTGTGGAAATGTGCTCAGAACCTGCTATCAACTTCTTCACTGTCACAGGCGTTAAATTTGCTTATTTAAGAAAAAGCAAAACCATCCCTGCAAGCTGACAAGAATGATGAACCACAAATGGGGATCTGATCATTATATCCTCTTATGCATGCTGCTGAACCTCAGGATTCACCAAACCCAGCTTGCCTTACTCGACAGGGGTGAGGGTGAGGGTGTTTATAAGCAGGATTAAGATCAGACATGTTTTTAATTAAACCAGTTTTCCAAAGTACAAGACAGGCAGCTCAAATTGGGTTCCAAACTCAAGTTTGGTATAAAACAAGCTTCTGCTAAACCCAAGATCAATAGAAATAAATAAATTAAATTTAAATAAATAAATAAATTTAATGAAGATATCCTATCTCCTAGAACTGGAAGGGACCTTGAAAGATCATTGAGTCCAGCCCCCTGCCTTCACTAGCAGGACCAAGTACTGATTTTTGCCCCAGATCCCTAAGTGGCCCCCTCAAGGATTGAACTGCTGCTATCATTATGGCAACTGTGTTTATTCTACTGAAATATAATAATGCTATTACTTGAGCTCTGGTTCTATTGACTAGGAATGTTGAAATGCACGTTTAAAGATGTCCAATGAGATGATTAATCAAATATTTGTAAAATAGGATTTAAAAAAAAGTGTTTAGAAAGAGACACAAAAATCTGGCTCCCCTTTTCCATTGCATCCAAAACAAAACTACTCATCTTCACTTTCAGAGGCACTTCCTAGCTTAGCACAGCCCCACCTATCCTCTCACACACTACTGAACCTTCAGCATATGCCTCTACTCTGCTAATGATGCCAGTTGTTGTTACCCATTAGTCTTATTTTTCCCCTCAACACCTTTGCACTTTTCCCCATGTCATCTCATACACACTGGAAGATCTCCCCTTGAAAGTCGGCAAAGCCAGGGCATCGTCCTTCAAACTCACCTCTGTCGTGATACCTACAAAGTACTTGACCATATTTTAGGCAGCTGGTGTGCTAGGACTGATGCTCATGACTCTAATCGCAATACTCTCACTGTTAGACAGGAGGAGCACAAGGTCCTTCTGATCCTACGATTCTGTGATTCTATGTTTCACTGAAGTCAATGAGACTAGCCACCTCAAGGAACAAACAGCCTTACCTCCACAGATATTCCCCGGGCACTGGGCCCCATGGTAACAGTGCCAACCTTCACCAAGAAGTCACAGTACTGGTACCGCGTACCCCGGCTCTCTATCTTGTTTGCCTTGGCGTTTTGGAAAAAGCCTTTCAGTTTCACCATCAGGACATCAAAGTTGGCATCTGCTATGAGGCAGGGGCCGTTTTCAAAGAGAGCGAAACAGCTGAGGGGATATTCAGAGTTATGCATCACGTACATCAGCTTGCCAGCCTGCCCTGGAACAAGAGCAACGGTATTTTAACTGTAGAAATTATGCTTCTTCCCTATTGCGTGCTTTCAAGAAGAAACATCTGTTAGAATCAACAAAGACAAGGACAAAAGAAACGCTATTTCAGGATTTCTGTATTCCTCATGAATGTTTAATCTGATTCTGGACACTGGGTGTTTGGGTTTGTTTTATGATCTAAAAACAAAACAAAAAAACCTCAGGCAGGTACATTAACGTTTCTGCCATTCCAGAGCACATCCTGATCTCTGTATTTCCTGTGCCCGCTGAGATGTATGAGCCCCAAACTCAAATTTCTAAACATGTTTTGCATCAATTACTCAAGAGAGCCATCTGACTGCTAACTTTACTGCTGGGTTTCCATTTACCAATTCACTCACTCATACATACATATGTCAGCTTGGGAAATGGGATATTTTACTGGGGAAGGGAGGTGGGAACTGTCTACTGAACTGAAGATACTTAATGTCTAATAAAGAGAGCACATACTGGATGCCCTCCACTCTTTGTAAAAAGAGAGCTCAACTCGAACAAATTCAATATTTGGAGCCAGGTTTCCTTTAACATTCCATATGAACGGATCCAAACACTGACCCACCACGATGAATTCTCAGCAACTTTACTCCTGAGGGGCACCGTCAACTCATGTTTGGGCCAAAATTTAAGCACTGGGGAAAAACTAAGAATCCTTCCAACACTTCTACAAAACTGAACACAAATAGGAATTTTATTTTTTTTTTAAATCCCAGTGGAAACATTTTTTAGACAAATAACCCCTGCTCCACTCCTGCAGTACACACAACTCAAAACCTGTGGCGCTGAGACAGAAACTGACTAGAGACAAAAGCGACCTTGATTTACACTGCCCAAGATGAGAGAAGGGCAAAATGTAAATAAAGAGCATGAACAGGGATGAGTACATTAGATTTCTAATATTCTTTCTGCTTTAACAATCTAAGGGCCAGACTGCGAAAGAGCAGTTATACAAACAGCCCCAATGAACTCAACGAGTAATTCCTCGTGCACAAAAGGGGGTTCCAATGGGGCTTGAAGGCATTATAAATAACACAGGGCTAGATTGTGACTTGCATTGTACATCCCTGCAAGGGATGTTAGGGGAAATAAAGAATCCCCCTTGCCCATGTAGATCCTGGGTCTGGGCACCTGCTTACTGTCCTTGTCTATCTCTGGAGCAGGCGTACAGGCGGATAGGTGGAGTCTAGTCTTAACTCTCATTCACTCACCAGTGCAGCGGAGTGGGGAGATTACGTGGTGTGGTATCATACTTTGTGCTAGCACAAGCCAGCAGCAAATCACTACCACCACCGCCCAGAGTGAGAAGGCACCACCAGAGGAACTGAGACACAGATGTGAGAGTGACTCTGTGCATGTGAATCCCTGCACCCATGCGGAGTTCACTGAAGGCCATCTGGGTGCAGGGGTATGTCCATGTGTGGCTAATTGCTGATTGGGGCCTATCATGCTTTCTGGAAAAAAAAACATCCTGAAGATTTAGGGATCCGACAAATGAGAATTTACACACACAGCTGTTGCTATTATAGAGCCATACAGTTTAAGGCTAGAAGGGACCACCAAATCATCCTGTCTGACCGCCTGTATTTCACAGGCCACCACACCACCCAGCCACCCACACACCAAGCCCAACAACCAGAATTAGACTCTTAATGAGAGCTTAACGCCAGAAATGCCATACCACATAGCCTTTACTTAAAAAAGAACTTCCTTTCACAGCTAAGTATGTTACATAGGAAAAATACCCAGAACTATATTTTTGATCACTGTTGATTCATTAGCCAATGGGGCATGCCATCAGCAGAAAGCTGTTTTGGGTATTCAAGGAAAAGTGGACGCTTTATAACTGGTTCACATGGGGCTTTAGCACCAAGAACTATGATACCGTGCAGCTGCCTATATAAAGAACTAGCCCTTTGGCAGATTTCTGCAGACAAGACTTCCCTCCGTGTAAATCACAAAAAAATCAAACTTCTGTTACATTTCTTACAGGCAAACAGCTTGGAAGTGATCAGCAAAATCCAACAGCAGCGCAAGGTTGCAAGAAATACCTTTAGCCAGAGAGCCTAGTGTTCACAGAGCACTCTGCATAGGCAACAGTGAAGCCATGCACATTCCCAGACCAGACAGAAACGCGGTGGCACAGGCTCACTGCTGACCTCTAGAGACACTTATAGTGAAGAAGTGGGGTTTTTTACCAGCGAAAGCTTATGCCCAAATAAATCAGTTAGTCTTTAAGGTGCCACCGGACTCCTTGTTGTTTTTGTAGCGAAGCTGTAACACCATGACAGTTGAAGGTGAGACTAGTTGCTTGAGTCGCTTTTTTTAAAGCACTCTGTAGTCCACATGCTCACTCAGATTGTCTTGAAAAAGTGCCGTGCATCATGAGGAACCAGGGTAGGGCTGGGGGGCTATATTTGAAGTTGTTTAAGAAAGGGTGTCCTGAGATACAGCCCCATTTAAAAAGAGAGTCATGACACCATTCTATGGTCTCCCTAGGAAAACTGTCCCCCCAGTCATGCCCCCCTCAGTACCACCACTTCCTCAAAGAACAAAGGAAATTCCCTACTTAAAATCCTTGTTAACAGTTAAGGTTGACCAGCATTTCCTTGTACCCTTGCAGAATGACAAGTGGAAGGACAGATTATTACTGTCTGTAACAGCAGGTTTGGGGCGTCACTCAAAGAGGGCAGCATGAAGGTTGCAGGACTGGCGAGTACCGTAACTCTGTACTTCCTGGTTTTCAGCAGTTTAAGTACAGATGCACTCAGAAGGTACGAGGCATCGCAGGTCAGTCTTAACTCGGTGTTAATGAAGCTTTTGCGGAGTGAATCATAATCTTTATTGATGTAACATCTTTCATCCAAAGATCACCAAGCATTTTATTATCAGCAGTCAAGCCATCCAACCCCATGTGAGGTAGGTCAGTATTGTTATGTACATTTTAAACATAGGGAGAATAGAATGCATGGATTCTGAGAACAGAATCCATGCATCTGGTCTCTATTTTACTCTTCTTCCCTACAGCTACCACCAAGTTATTGCAGTAGTGACACCCTGAATAACTGGAGAAAAGAAGGGGGGGGGGGAAAGCATTAGTGGGATTGAGACTCAACCTCAGAGCTGGCATTAGATGTCCTTGTCAGAAAATAAGAGAACAATTACTTCCCTGAACATTACTCGAATTGCGTTATACCAACCCCAGCGATCAGCCTTAATGATCGCCACAGGGCGCTTTGATCACTCCATGAAAGGAAGTGAAATGCAGACCTTGGTTGCCCATGGTGGAGGCAGCGGTGTGGTAGGTCTCACAGTCCACACAAAATGTTCCTTGTTTCTCTGCTCCCAGCAGCTCCAATTTCCTTGTTAGGATTTCAACTGTTTGCTGGACGCTCTTCCCCTCTGCCACGGGCATCTGAGACACACTGTCATAGAAGACAAGGAAGCAAAAGAAAAGATTCAGTAATCGCATACATAGAGATATGATAACCAACTCAGAATCAATTTCAGCCAGTCAATGTACTTATAAAGTCTAGAATAGAGATTAAAAGCCAACATACATGATAGTTATCTGATCTGTAGAGCACTTGCATACTTGACTCATTCACTTAAAGGCCAGAAGAGAGCATTGTGATAGTCCCGTCTGACCTCTTGACTAACACAGGGCAGGGAACCTCACCCAGTAAATTTTTCTATCAAACCCATACGCTTCTTTTTGAGCTATAGCATTTAGCTAAGACATCCAGCCATTAAAGCAGGGGTGGGCCAACTCTTTGGCCCGAGGGCCACATCTGGGAATAGAAACTGTACAGCGGGCCATGAATGCTCACAAAATGGGGGTTAGGGTATGAGAGGGGCTGAGGGCTCTGGTTGGGGGTGCAGGCTCTAGGGTGGGGCTGGGGATGAGGAGTTTGGGGTGTAGGAAGGTGCTCTGGGCTGGGATCAAGAGGTTCGGAGGGCAGAAGGGGGATCAGGGCTGGGGTAGGGGCGCAGGGGTGGCGGCTCAGGGGTGCAGGCTCCGGGCGGCGCTTACCTCAAGCAGTGGCATGTTCCTTCTCCGGCTCCTACATGGAGGCACAGCCAGGCGGCGCTGCACGTGGCCCCATAATGGCCGGGAACTGCGGCCAATGGAAGCTGCAGGGGCGGTGCCTGGGGACGGGGCAGCGTGCAGAGCTGGGCCCCCTGGCAGCTCCTACACATAGGAGCCGGAGGCAGGCCATGCTGCTGCTTCCAGGAGCTGCGTGGAGCGGCCCCATACCTTGCTGGAGCGGGGCAAGCCCCAGACCCCACTCCCCAGCGAGAGCTCAAGGGCCAGATTAAAATGGCTGGCAGGCCGGATGCAGCCCGCGGGCCGTAGTTTGCCCACCCCTGCATTGAAGAGATGGGTCAGGAGCAGGATTTGAACCCACAGCTCTACAGGGAAGCTAGAACACCAAGGAAAGGATAAGACAAAGCTTTGAATGTGGCCTGTTAGACCATTCAGCCATCCCAATCCAGCTGTGACAGGCATTTAAGAAAACCCTAAGGCAGGCAGAGCAAACATAACAGGCATTGGCACCATACTAAGTACCACTGCAATGGGTGCTGGCCAAGTGCCAGGACAGATGGGACACTGTAGAGATAAATTTTCCTCGTCACCTTATAAACATATAAAATAAGCATCATACAGAAGGTTTTACACAAGGTTTTTGCTCTGTTACACTGGTAACTCCAGATAGCCTGTGGTCAAACGTGCTCTTGATGTCCTTCGAGCTCTCCTATTTCCCTCTTGAGCAGTATAAAGCCTTGATTTCCGGTTTTTAAATACATGTCCTCCATACCCTTATTGCCCATTGCAATATTTTCCCATTATGTTATATTACCAGCTGCAATATTGACATAGCTTGTTGAAGCCTAACGAAGAGAGGGAAGAGTATCTTCGCAGGCAGGCTTGCTCACCTAGTGAGGAGGGCTTTAAACTAGGTTTGCCGGGGGACGGTGACCTAAGCCCTGAGGTAAGTGGGATACCGGGAGGAAACACAAGGAGGAGGGTGCAACGGGGGGGCCTCCTGATTCATACTGAGAAAGCAGGGCAATCGGCTAGTTATCTTAGGTGCCCGTACACGAACGCAAGAAGCCTGGGAAACAAGCAGGAAGAATTGGAAGTCCTGGCACAATCAAGGAACTACGATGTGATTGGAATAACAGAGACTTGGTGGGGTAGCTTACATGACTGGAGCACTGTCATGGATGGGTATAAACTGTTCAGGAAGGACAGGCAGGGGGGAAAGGTGGAGGAGTTGCACTGTATGATTGCTCAGAGCTCCAGTATGAAACTGGAGAAAAGTCTGTGGAGAGATTTTGGGTTAAGTTTAGAAGCGAGAGCAAAAAGGGTGATTTTGTGGTGGGCGTGTGTTATAGACCACCGGACCAGGAGGATGAGGTAGACAAGGCTTTCTTTGAACAGTTAACTGAAGTTTCCAGAACACAGGCCCTGGTTCTAATGGGGGGACTGCAATCACCCTGACATCTGCTGGGGGAGCAATACAGCAGTACACAGACAATCCAGGAAGTTTTTGGAGAGTGTTGGGGACAACTTCTTGGTGCAACTAATGGAGGACCCAACCAGGGGCCTCTCTCCTCTTGACCTGCTGCTTACAAACAGGGAAGAATTGGTAGAGGAAGTAGAAGTGGGTGGCAACCTGGGCAGAAGTGACCATGGGATGGTTGAGTTCACGAGCCTCACAAAAGGAAGAAAGGAAAGTAGCAAAATACGGACCCTGGACTTCAGAAAAGCAGACTTTGACTGCCTTAGGGAACTGATGGGCAGGATCCCCTGGAAGGCTAATATGAGAGGGAAAGGAGTCCAGTAAAGCTGGCTGTATTTTAAAGAAGCCTTACTGAGAGCGCAGGAACAAACCACCCCGATGTGCAGAAGGAATAGCAAATATGGCAGGCAACCAGCTTGGCTGAAGAGTGAAATCTTTAGTGAGCTTAAACACAAAAAGGAAGCTTACAAGAAGTGGAAACTTGGACAGATGACTAGGAAGGAGTATAAAAATATTGCTCGAGCATGCAGGGGTGTAATCAGGAAGGCCAAGGCACAACTGGAGTTGCAGCTAGCAAGGGATGTGAAGGGTAACAGAAGGGTTTCTACAGGTATGTTAGCAACAAGAAAAAGGTCAGGGAAGGTGTGGGACTTTAATGAATGGGGGAGGCAACCTAGTGACAGATGATGTGGAAAAAGCTGATGTACTCAATGCTTTTTTTGCCTCAGTCTTCACAAACAAGGTCACCTCCCAGACTGCTGTCCTGGGCAATACAGTATGGGGAGGAGGTGAGCAGCCCTCTGTGGTGAAAGAACAGGTTAAGGACTATTTAGAAAAGCTGGACATGCACAAGTCCATGGGTCCAGATCTAATGCATCCGAGGGTGCTGAGGGAGTTGGCTGATGTGACTGCAGAGCCATTGGCCATGATCTTTGAAAACTCGTAGTGATCAGGGGAGGTCCCGGACAATTGGAAAAAGGCAAATATAGTGCCCATCTTTAAAAAAGGGAAGAAGGAGAACCCGGGGAACTACAGACCGGTCAGCCTCACCTCAGTCCCTGGAAAAATCATGGAGCAGGTCCTCAAGGAATCCATTTTGAAGCATTTGGAGGAGAGGAAGGTGATCAGGAACAGTCAACATAGATTCACAAAGGGCAAGTCATGTCTGACCAACATGATTGCCTTCTATGATGAGATAACTGGCTCTGTGGATACGGGGAAAGCAGTGGACGTGATATATCTTGACTTTAGCAAAGCTTCTGATACAGTCTCCCACAGTATTCTTGCCAGCAAGTTAAAAAAGTATGGATTGCATGAATGGACTATAAGGTGGATAGAAAGCTGGCTAGATTGTCAGGCTCAACGGGTAGTGATCAACGGCTCAATGTCTAGTTGGCAGCCGCTATCAAGCGGAGTGCCCCAGGGGTCAGTCCTGGGGCTGGTTTTGTTCAACATCTTTATTAATGATCTGGATGATGGGATGGATTGTACCCTCAGCAAGTTCACAGATGACACTAAGATGCAGGGAGAGGTAGATATGCTGGAGTGTGGGGATAGGGTCCAGAGTGACCTAGACAAATTGGAAGATTGGACCAAAAGAAATCTGATGAGGTTCAACAACGACAAGTGCAGAGTCTTGCACTTAGGACGGAAGAATCCCATGCACTGCTACAGGCTGGGGACTGACTGGCTAAGCGGCAGTTCTGCAGAAAAGGACCTGGGGGATTACAGTGGATGAGAAGCTGGATATGAGTCAGCAGTGTGCCCTTATTGCCAAGAAGGCTAATGGCATATTGGGCTGCATTAGTAGGAGCATTGCCAGCAGATCGAGGGAAGTTATTATTCCCCTCTATTCGGCATTGGCGAGGCCACATCCGGAGTATTGCATCCAGTTTTGGGCCCCCCACTACAGAAAGGTGTGGACAAATTGGAGAGAGTCTGGCGGAGGGCAACGAAAATGATCAGGGGGCTGGGGCACATGACTTACGGGGAGAGGCTCAGGGAACTGGGCTTGTTTAGTCTGCAGAAGAGTGAGGGGAGATCTGATAGCAGCCTTCAACTACCTGAAGGGGGGTTCCAAAGAGGATGGAGCTCGGCTGTTCTCAGTGGTGGCAGATGACAGAACAAGGAGCAATGATCTCAAGTTGCAGTGGGGGAGGTCTAGGTTGGATATTAGGAAACACTATTTCACTAGGAGGGTGGTGAAGCACTGGAATGGGTTACCTAGGGAGATGGTGGAATCTCCATCCTTAGAGGTTTTTAAGGCCTGGCTTGACAAAGCCCTGGCTGGGATGATTTAGTTGGTGTTGGTCCTGCTTTGAGCAGGGGGTTGGACTAGATGACCTCCTGAGGTCTCTTCCAACCCTAATCTTCTATGATTCTACGATTACAAGCCCAACTAGATCCCTGACCGAACATAACCCAGCTCCCTCTTTGCAGTCCCTGAGCAGCAGCATCTCTTCACACAACGCACAGTCAACCTGTGGAACTCTTTGCCTGAGGATGTTGTGAAGACCAAGACTATAACAGGTTCAAAAAAGAACTAGATAAGTTGATACAAAATAAGTCCATCAATGGCTATTAGCCAGGATGGGCAGGGATGCAAAACCATGCTCTGAAGTGTTCCTAGCCTCTGCTTGCCAGAAGCTGAGAATGGGCGACAGGGGATGGATCACTTGATGATTCCCTGTTCTGTTCATTCCCTCTGGGGCACCTGGCACTGGCCACTGTTGGAAGACAGGATACTGAGCTGGATGGACTATTGGTTTGATCCAGTATGGCTGCTCTTATGCTCCACACCCTCCTGAACAAGGATCCTGCCTCACCCGTGTTCCTCTCTGCTGGGTGCCTTCTCCCATTATCCCCACCGGGCCTCATGTGACGATGACCAAGCGGGTGCAACATGGTGACGCTAGCTCGAACAGTCAGGCAGCCCCAACAGCTCGAACAGCAACGAGGAACACAGGCTGAAGAAGCTGCCACAGTACACTCCCAGCAAGAATCAATGCAGTCTGAATAGGCACCCGTGAGCTCATCCTGCAACAGAGCACCTCCTAAGGAACTAACCTTTCAGGGCTCGGTGCAAGGAGCCCCCCCCGCAATGATGGAACCTAACCTGCTGTAGCAGAGCTGCTCCTGGCAGGCACCAGTCTACAACCATCATGCAGTCACATTCATTGCAAGTAAATAAAGACCCAACCACTGGCATGCTTTTTAACCACGCAACATAGAAAGTCCTACCAGGTGACTCCCATGCTTCTTGAAGTCTTCACGTAGGGCTGCACTGGTCCCTATGGAGGAGAAGGAGGCTCAGCTGATACTATGCAGTCTTTCAAATATAGTTGCAGCAGAGACTTATATATAGATGTGTGTGTGTGTCTGTCTGTCTCTCTCTCCTGGGCAGGAAGCACATTTGCTAGCCCAGCAGCCCCTCCCTGTCCTCTACTATCCCAGTGAAACGCAACAAACAGGAAATGATGTCATCAAGAGGGGAGGATACGAGTCTCAGGCCAGGCCCCCTGCCTCTCTGTAGGTCACGGTGCTACTTACCGCCTCCTGGACGCAGATCAGTTACCAAAGATTGTGTCAGGTTTCAGAGTGGGAGTAGAGACTGCTTGGCACGGGACTGCAGAACCAGGGGACACAGAAGAACAGGAGGAAAGAATTCTTGTGTCAGTGCTCCCCAGTGTCTCAGGAGGAAATTGACAAAGGCCTGAGGGAAACACATTGCAAACTCCCAAATACATCTGTTAGTCTTTAAGGTGCCACCAGACTCCTTGTTGTTTTTGTAGATACAGACTAACACGGCTACCCCCTGATACTTGACACATTGCAAACTCCTTCATCATAAAGAAGGCAACATTTAGGAGGGGCAGCGCTTTAAAAGAGTTATTGAGCCCCTTCGTTTTCAGTTTAAACCGTTTATTTACCGAATAAATCCTGGGTTTTACAAAAAGTATTATTCATTTTTTTCTGATTTTCACCCTACCTGTGTACCAGTCAAATATATATTAAAAAGTTGTTTTATTAGGAAGTACAATACATGGCATGAGATATATGTGTTGTGATAATACATTAGTCTGTGTGTATATGCAAAGCTGCCTGTTGAAGTAAGGCTATGTATTAGTCTAGAACAGGGGTCGGCAACCTTTCAGAAGTGGCGTGCCGAGTCTTCATTTATTCACTGTAATGTAAGGTTTCGCGTGCCAGTCATATATTTTAACGTTTTTAGAAGGTCTCTTTTCATAAGTTTATAATATATAACTGAACTATTGTTGTATGTAAAGTAAATAAGGTTTTTAAAATGTTTAAGAAGCTTCATTTAAAATTAAATTAAAATGCAGAACCCCCAGACCGGTGGCCAGGACCTGGGCAGTGTGAGTGCCACTGAAAATCAACTCGCGTGCCGCCTTCGGCACGCGTGCCATAGGTTGCCTACCCCTGGTCTAGAAGATACACACAATAAACAAACAGGCACCCACGCAAGCTCTGAAGTGCGTGCGCATCTGAACGTACTGATGAATCTCAGTCCCACCAAGTACACATTTCAAGCTGTTAGCAGGTTTAAAGATCTGACACACTTTAAACTAAAATGTTAAGAAAAAGAAAATCTGTCTTAGAATATGTTTCAGAACACAAGTATTCAGAAGTTTTAATAAAAAGAGGAGAAAAGGATGGTGTGGTCTCAGTATTAAATGTAAATATTTATAGGCTACTAGTTCTAAATCTACAACAGTAAACTGTTTATTCAAATGAAAAGTTTTATTTGGGGATTAGAGAGCTATTGTTTTCTTAAACTCAGAGGTGGCATTGTGTTTTGAGTTCTGTTTTAGTTCTGCAGCAAACCACATTGAATTCCATTCATCAAAGCATTTATCTATTGAATATCTTTTCCCCGTCCTTCCGTCCACCAAAATAAACCCAGATATTTACCCAGAAAATTTATTGTTTTTTTCCACTGATTTCCACCTGTTTTTGTTGCTGTAGTAATAAACACCAATAAATTCCTGAGAAAAAATAAAAAAACAAAAATGAAAGGCCCTAAGAATTATTTAGACAAGTAACCAATATCCCCTGTCCCTCCACCAATTTCTTCCAGCCTAATATATCTCAATGGAGTTAATAGGTGGGTCCAGCCCTTGTCTCAATACAGTAAATCCACCTTCTCTCTCTGCTGCTTTGAAAGCTGAACTCGCTCTGAATGATGAAGGACTCTGTAGGATGAAAGACTCTGCCTTAGGAGAGGTTCCTAGAAGGCACTGTAAAATAGGACGGCTGCACCTTTAAGAGCCGAGCCTTGCGACAGGGCTGATTAGGCTGTTGCCAGTTTTGGAACGGAAGGAGTCGCAACGTTCCAGGAGCGCATGCGCTTTGGTGGCACCTCTCCAGCCGCCCCCCCTTCCCTTGCTTACGCAACGCACACACAGGCCGCACACGTGCGCTTTCTCGCAGGCCAGGGAGCGCGAGCTGGGGGATCAACATGCCTAAGGTCAAGCGGCGGAGGGGCACTGGGGGCCCAGGGGAGGCGGCCAGGAACGTGTCCCTGGCCGAGCAGATCATACAAGGGGACTCGGTGAAGCCCACCACGCGGGTGAAGAGGCGAGGCAGAGGCGGGCAGCATGGCGGTGGGGAACAGGAGGACCAGTACGTGGATGAGAAATTGTCCCGGAGGATCCTGGAGCAGGCTCGGATCCAGCAGGAGGAGCTGGAGGCTGAGCACTGTCCTGGCAAAGGAACCGAACCGAAGAAGGAGAAGACCACGGTGCTGGGTGAGTGGGGACAGAGCCGGGGACTGAGCACGTAAGAGGGGTGGGGCTGGGAGTGGGTGGGGTGAGCTGGGCTGGTTTTCTAGCCGTTGCTTGGGGTGAACGCTGCTCCTTATTGAAGCGCAGAGCCAACTTTAAGCACACCAGCAAAGCGAGCACACGGGTGGGCTCTGTCACTTATTAACGAGCCTGATCTCTGCTTGTCAGTTTCGGCTGGGTGGGGACAACCCCCCACCCACCCTCTGTTTCCCTTTGATATAGCAGGTTTGATGGGGCAGAGAAGAACCCCCTGCTAAATGCTCATGGGATTTCTCTCTCCACCCTCCCAGTTCCTGAGAGTCCGAGTATTAAAAGTTAGGCCTGGGTAGATATGCTATGGTATTGTGTTAAGGTCTTTCCCACTTTTCCCAAGAACGTCCCAGACGGCTTCAGGAAGTGGTGTTGGCAGTTCAGTAGGTGGCAGTGCTCACCATAAATCAGTTTGCAACAAAAGTCCCCGCATAGTGGAAGGGGGCATTGTGCTGCCTTTCAGATGAGATGTAAAACAGCATTCTGGCTCCTGATGGTGCAGCAAAAGTTATAGGTGTGTTCACCTGGGTGCCTCGGCTGAGTTGTGTCACGGGAAGGCATTCTGTCTCCCCGTGTTTCTCCTCCTCCACTTTTATCCACCTGTCTGTATGCTTAAACAGCCCTCATCGCTATAGTTATCTGACATCTCACAATCACGAAGGGATCTGATCCTGTCAGCACCTCTCAGACAAAGGGAAGTATCGTTCCCATTCAACAGCTGCTCAGAGAGATCTAGGGACGTGCCCGAAGTCACACAAGAAATCCGTGGCTGACTCAGGAACTGAACCCAGGTTTCTTGAGTTTTAGTCCAGTGGTCTATTCAATAGACCATCCTTTCCCTTGGGTATGAGGTTCTTCCTCATTTCCTGTCCCAAATCATATATTGTTTTTTACGGTACATTTGACAGCACATAGTGTTGAGTCCGTTTAATGGTCACTTAGGGCCAGCTTTTTAGAGGTAGTGGAGTTGGGCACCTTAATACCTTTTACAATGTGAGCCTTAGTCTGTGATCCTGCAAATACTTACACATGCGAGTAGTTGCATTAAAGCGTGAGTATAAAGTTCAGTATGTGGGATCAGGGCCTCAAGTAGGCTTTCTCTGGGCTTGTGTGATTTCTTCCTACGACAACAGGAGAGAGAAAAATAATAATAATAAAACAAGCCATGGTTAGAATCCCACAAAAACGAGCAGGAGGGACTTAGGCACATGTGTAGGACCTGAAACTGCTTTTAACTCTTTAGTTGATGAAGCTTCAAGTTAGCAGAATAATTTTTAATTGCACGGCTGTTCTCCAACCTTATTGGTTGATCCTGGTAGTTAATTAGGCAATTGGCAGAGGATAAGCAATTCTTGGGCTTGGATGGAAATTCTGACTGTCCCTTCAAATGGACTGCCCCGGGAAGTCTCTGGTGCCCCTTCCCATAGTGGGTGTTTGACTACTGTTAGAAAAGGGCTTCTGCAAATTCACCTCACTAGCCACATGAGAGAGTTGGAGATCAGAGTGTGGAGAGCTGAGTGGAATGCACTTGTTCAGCTGTATCTTTGCAGGCAAGTTGCTCTGCCCCCTGACTTGTCCAACCTTAACTGTGTCTGGTTTATTTCAGGGTCTGGATCACACGACAGGGACTCTGACGCAGAGGATGATGAGTGGCCCACACTGGAGAAGGCTGCTGCATCCATGGGAAAGGGGGAGTACTGTGAGGAGGTGACGGTGGACCCTGAGGATGAGAGAGCCATTGAAATGTTCATGAACAAGAATCCGCCGCTAAGGTAAGAAACAAACCCCTGAGCCATGGGATATAAGTGTTTCCGTACTGTGGGCTGTGCCTCCTGCAGCCACACAGCATTCAAATAGCGTTAAAGTTCAGAACAGCACTTCGAAGAGGTTAACTGATCTCTGGGAGGTGGGTTTGGTTAAAGCTCTGTCATTCTTCTATAGCTGGAGAGATTGAAGCATAGGGGAGAATTGTCTTGCTCAAGCTCATGAGGCAAGTCTGAGGCAGAACTGGGAATTAGAACCCAGGAGTCCTGACCCCCTGTGATCCAAGCAGTAGATAATGCTTCATTTCCTCTAAAATGACGCATGCACCGTAGTAACTCCTATTACTGTAACGCCTAGAGAGAGGCCCAGCTGAGATCAGGGTTCCCTTTGTGCTTGGCGCTGTACCCACAGTCATTAAGACAGTCTCTACCCCAAAGAGATAAACACCCTACATAGACGAGAGATAAAGGATAGGGGCGGAAACAGAGGCACAAGGAGAAGTGTCACCAAGCAGGCCACTGGCAGAGCGGTCTTCAAGTCCTCTGATTCCTATTGCAGGGCTCAGTCCCCTAGGCCCTGCAACCTGGTTTGCCAAGGAACACGCTGATGCTCTTCTATGCGAGATACAAACTCTACATAGTTTCCTTCCCCTGTGTCTGCCAGGCTCACGCTAGCCGATATCATCATGGAGAAGATCACGGAGAAGCAGACAGAGGTGGAGACAATGATGTCGGAAATATCGGGCCACCCCATGCCTCAGCTGGACCCCCGCGTACTGGAGGTCTACAAGGGTGTCCGAGAAGTAAGAGCAATAGTATTTATATAGCAGCATCTACCTTCAAAACGCTG